CATGGAACAGGGGGCGCCCTGTGGCCGACACAGCTCACTCATGGCCGGAGTGCAGGGGAGCTAAAAGAGGTACCTGGCTGGAGGATTAATTGTTCTCCACCCAGGTCTATTTAAAAAAAAAAATAAAAATAAAAATCGCGGCAGAGGGGGCGGGGTTTACCGAGCGGCGGAGGCGGGGCTTATCGAGAGGCGGAGACGGGGCTAATACCTCCCGAAGCCCCTGCTGTACAGGAAGAGGAAAAGATGCTTCCCCATCAGCCAACTGCATCCACTGGAAAGAGGTAAGTGTGTGTGTGTGACTGTTTGCCTGTTTGTGTGACTGTCTGTGTGTGTGTGTGTGACTGTCTGTGTGACTGCCTGCCTGTGTGCGTGTGTGTGTGTGTGTGTGACTGTCTGTGTGACTGCCTGTCCTTGTGTGTGTGTGTGTGTGTGACTGTCTGTGTGACTGCCTGTCCTTGTGTGTGTGTGTGTGACTGTCTGTCTCTGTGTGTGTGTCTGACTGTCTCTGTGTGTGACTGCCTGCCTGTGTGTGACTGTCTGTGTGTGTGTGACTGTCTGTCTGTGTGACTGCCCATGTATGTGACTGCCTGTGTGTGTGACTGTCTGTGTGACTGTCTGTCTGTGTGACTGTGTGACTGCCCATGTATGTGACTGTCTGTCTGTGTGACTATCTGTCTGTGTGACTGTCTGTCTGTGTGACTGCCTGTGTGTGTGAGACTGTCTGTCTGTGTGACTGTCTGTGTGTGTGACTGTCTGTCTGTGTGTGTGACTGCCTGTGTGTGTGACTGCCTGTATGTGACTGCCTGCCTGTGTGTGTCTGTCTGTAACTATCTGTCTGTGTGTGACTGCCTGCCTGTGTGTGTGACTTTCTATCTGTGTGACTGCCTACCTGTGTGTGTATAACTGTCTATGTGTGTGTTACTGTGTGTCTGTCTGTGTGTGTGACTGCCTATGTGACTGTCTGTCTGTGTGTGTCGCTGTAGCTGTGCCATTGTTTGTGCCTGTGCCTGTATGTGTGACTGCCTTTAACTGAGTGTGTGTGTACATGCCTGTAACCGAGTTTAAATTTCCCCCACCCCTTCCTGTCAAGGCCGCACTTTGACTGACAGACGCTCACTCACTGACAGACGCACACTCACTGACGACACATACACACTCACTGACGACACATACACACTCACTGACGACACATACACACTCACTGACTGACACATATACACTCACTGACCAACACACACATTCACTCACAGACACACACACATTCACTTACAGACACACACAATTACACACTTACAGACACACACACACACACACACATTCACTTCAAAATAAACACTCACAGACACACACACAGACATTTCCACTAACACTCACAAACTAATATTTTTTACATTTATTTTAAATCCACCCAGCCTCCCTGGGAAAGCTGGAGTGGATTTCTTACCAGCAGTCCAGTGTGGCTGCTGGGCAGGCAGGCAGGGGGCGCACAGGCTGAGTAAGCAGCGCTTAGTGATGCCGGGAGCCGGACTGACGTCATATTCTGGCTCCCGGCTTCATTAAGCGGCGCAGAGGAAGCTGAGCAGGAAGAGCTCAGGTGAGTATGCTCCTTCGCTGCCCGCTGCCAGCCTTGGGGGGGCTCAAAAGTGGCCAGCCGGTCAGCTCTTGAGCCCCCCAGGATGCGAGGCAAGCAAGGGATCTGCCTGGGGGTTTGGAGGGATGCTTTTTTTTGCCGCCCCCTGCAAAGTGGCGCCCAAGGCAGATGCCTTGTTTGCCTCGTGATACACACGTCCCCGGTGCCTGTGTGTGTTACTGTATTCAGGCAACTTGGTGGGAGGTGGGGGGGGCGCCGTGAAGACTTTTTGCACAGGGCGCCTAATTGCCTAAGGCCGGCCCTGTGTATGTATGTATGTATGTATGCATATGTGCGTGGGAGGTTGTTGCATGTGTCTAGAAGAATGTATCCAGGGGGTCCAGTCAGTGGTTTTGTATATGTTCTGATGGCAGCCCGGATCACCTAATCCTCTCCCACCTGCATTAAGATTGCTGCATGCAGTGATTTGCTGAGCCACGGTATGTGCAGCGCGTAGGTTGGCTCTCAGTCTCTGAGTAGGAAATGGAGCTCAGTCTATATTTGTCCAATATGGACAAATTGATATCAGGCAGCCGGATTGAGAAATCCAGCTGGAGACTGACAGCTCTGAGGCGCTGGCTTATAGCTGTGTGATTTTTACAAATAGCTTCAGTTCTAAGCAACTTACAGAGCTTTATGTACCATCAATGTTGCAAAGTTGTGATGGTGCTTAGATTGACGCTTAAATGGTGGTGGGAAAGGGAGTGGGTGATGGCCAATTGTAATGTGAGAGAGAGGGGTGTTGATTAATGATGATAGGAGAGGGTGAAGGCTAATGGTGGTGGGAGGATGGGGTATTACGTATGTTGATAATAATCACCATTAAGCATTATCCTTACCCTTTCTGGTCACCATTAGACATCACCCCTCCATTCTCTATCACCATCTGCCATTTGACCCTCTCCCACATATTATTTAGGCATCTCTAGGGCTGCCATCAGTGGGGTGTCTGGATATATTTGTGCCTATATTTGTGTGTCTGCTAGTGTGTGTTTGTACATGTGTCTGGCAGTTTGTATTTGTGTACAAGAGGGTGTATATGGCAGTGTTTAAATGTTCATGTGTCTGTCAGAGTGTATCTGTGTGTGTTTTTTGTTGGTATGCGGCAGTATATATTTTGTGTGTGTGTCTCACGGTGTGTTTTGGTGTTTGTGTATAGACAAGTATTTATGTATGCATATGTATGTATTTGTAGAGTGTAAAGTGTGTGTGGAAACTTATGCATGTATTTGGTAGAGTGTGTGGGTGTGTAGGTGTCACTCAGTGTTTTGTATGAGTTCTGATGGCAGCCCTGATGAGCCCATTCCTCTCTCAGTACCATTATGAGTGCAGCAACCAGTGGAGCTTTAGTTCATGCATGTACGGTCTGCAGCTCGACTCGCAGACCTCAGAGCAAGTACAGGATACTCTACTAACCATCAACTTTGCAATGATGCAATGTTGTGATGGTGCTTACATTGAAACTTTAATGGTGGTGGGAGAGGGAGCGGTGATGCTTAATAGTGATGTGAGAGGGAGGGTGGTGATGACTGATGATGATGAGAGAGGGGGCGATGCCTAGTGGTGGGAGACGGAGGGGGTGATGCTTATTGTGATAACAATCACCATTAGGCATCACCCCCACCCTCTCCGATCTTCATTCACCATTAAACATCACCCATCACCTCTCCTATGACCGGTAGGCATCAGACCCAATCTCTTACATCTCCATTAAATATCTCCAGGGCTGCCATCAGTGGGGTTACTGTGTGTATCTGGCAAAGCATCTTTCTGAGAGTTTGTAGTTGACAGTGTGTATCTGTAGGGTGAGCTGTCTGTGTGTGGAGTGTATCTGTAGGGTGTGGTGTGGCAGTGTGTATCTGTATGGTGAGCTGTCTGTGTGTGCTTCTGGAGTGTATCTCTGTGTGTGGTGCGGGAGTGTGTATCTGTGTAAGTGACAGTGTGTTTATCTCATAATGTGTACGTGTGTGTGTGTTTTTGTGAGTATGTAAGTAAGAGTGTGTGTATGTGAGGCAATGTGGGAGTATATATGTGGGTGTATCTGGGAGATTGTGTTGAGGGTGTATCAGTCAGTGGATTTATAAAAGACCCCACAAATTCCGATGGCAGCTCATGGTCAATCTCCCCATCTTTCTCCCACCACCATTATGCACTGGCCTCACTCCCACCACTATAAGACAACCCATCTCCTCCTACCATCATTAGGCTAGGCATTACCTTGAGCCTTTCTCTGTCTCACAACCAGCAGCATGAGCTATCACCCCATCCCTCTCACCATCCATGTAACCACACTGCAGCCTCCAGCAGCAGACCCAGGCCAGGATCAGCCTCACTCTGAAGGCCCCTACTTACCCTGCCCTGGTACCTAGTGGACAGGGAACGCACAAGCAGCCCAGATGAAGTCAGCCATCACACCATGCGCCCGCTGCCAGCCCCACAAGCTGCTACCGGTGGTGGAAACAAGGGGGGAGCACCAGGGCGAATGCCCCCCCACTCGAGAAGCTAGGGACCAAAAGAACCCTTGCACTAAGTTTGAAGTCTCATCATGAAAACTTTAACTGATGCCTGATATTCTAATATCATTTAATTAAATTAAGTTAATAAACAGAGAATATGACTGATTTCTTGCATAGTCTTACATAGTAATCTAGGTTGAAAAAAAAGTTCAAGTTCAATCTTGAAAACACATCTTCATATGTTAGTGATAAAAAAAAAAAAGCACATTTGAGGATATAGCTAAATATGAGACAAAAAGGAAAAACATGACTCCATATTGGCAATCAGAATTCTCCTGGGATCAAGATGCTTGGATAAACAACCAACATAGGTGTTACATACATAGACACTCACCATACAATCTCAATCTTTGTATGCAATGATGTGGACAGTAACTCTGATACTCAAAGTCCAAGGGATCCACTAGTCCCTCCTCCACAAAAGGCAGTTGCTGGAAGTGGAGTACACTGCTTGCTGTATTTCACGTCTATACTGTAATCAAGACCCCCTGATAATAGTCATGTCTTTCTTCTATGGGGTACAGGCTCAGACATCCCAGTGAAAAGTGAATGGGTGATGCTAGAAAGCCCTTCTAGGAGCAGACTGAGCATGTCTAAGATTTATTCTCAGATGGGGCAATTTCCTACAACATTCTAAGATCTCGACATGCCCAGTTGCCCTAACAGCTCATCCAGACTGCCATTAATCAGGGGGAGGGGAAGAGGTAGAACTGATATCATACAGTTAGATACAAAAGCAAATTCCTCCCTTTCACCTTCCACCAGGAAAAAAAATCCTTATCACTTATCAATAGTCCGTATCACTGCTAATATATATATATTTTGTACAGTTTGGGCCATTGCAACATTTATCATTAAACAAATGGACTTGGGCTTCTTGAAGGACATCTGATGGTACATTGGCTAAAATAAAAAAAAAAACAGTACAAAGTCACACATGATCCTTTAATGGATATATCACTTGGACTTTTAGTAAGAAATTCATCATAATGTATATAAACAGCTCTGATAAAATCAATGATTTTACAAAAAAGGTATGTCCAGCTATCATTCTAATAAAGCAAAACACTTTTCTATTTTTTAAGGTCTCACTTAAAACACCCGGAATATATCTCCCCTTCAGCATATACGGCACATTGCCATTTGTGTAACTAAACCCACTCACTGTATTCTGTATGCTAAAACGAGCACGGCCTTCGTAACCTTGAGTGTTTCCTGTATACCAAATTCTGATTTTTCTTATTTACTTGTATGTTTTATTTACATTACAGAATATGTTAAAGGAACACTATAGTGTTAAGAATACAAAGCTGTCCATCTCCCCCGCAACCCCCCATTGCAGGAATGATGAAAGGATTACATGGCCCTTTAACCCCTTAAGGACACATGACATGTGTGACATGTCATGATTCCCTTTTATTCCAGAAGTTTGGTCCTTAAGGGGTTAAACACTTACCTTATGCCAGCACCAAAATCCATAAGCGCTGAGTCTGTCTGTTCCTCCTGCAATGGTGAACCTAATGTGCATGTGTGGTGAGAGCCATGCGTGCATTAGGCCTTCCCTATAAAAACGCATTAAATTAATGCTCTCCTATGGGATTTTGCAAAATGCTGGACGTCTTCATGCAAAGTGTGAGGACGTCCAGTCTTGTTTCATGGAGTTAAACTCTGTGAACAGAGTCAGTCTAAACCCTTTTTTGTAAACATTGCAGTTAGGAAACAGAGACACTGCACTTGAGTTGGCCCCAAAATGTAAACTTTTCAAACTCTTACCTAGCTCTATATACGTGTCTTCATTGATCTTCCACCGACTCCCTACATGGTCCCATGGTCAGTCACCAGGATGTAAACCCTTTTTTTATTTTCCAAATAAGATTATTTTTCTTTCTTTCTTTCTTTTTTCTTTCTTTTTTACTTTTTTCTTTCTTTTTTACTTTTTTCTTTCTTTCGTTCTTTCTTACTTTTTTTTTTCTTTTTACTGCTGAAGGCTAATGGCTAAAATGTCTCTGCAATTCAAATGTAAACATATTTTACTTAGAGTTCTCCAGCCAATATAGTACATGCGTGATTGGATTCAATAATCCCAAACCACAAAAGACAATTCCTCGCGAGTTTGCATATGTTATTTAATGTGGACACCTTCACCATGGTGGTGCCAGACAGGAGGTGGGAAATCTCCACAAGATCCAAATAACACCAAAAGATTGGACTTGTACATTGTTTAGTCTAAACCATATGTGCCCTGACTTTTATTTACACCGACAGATTGAAATTCTTACTCGGTAAGTAGCTCTCAGACCCCAAAGGTTACTCAGATCACGACTCAACATATATATCTGCATTCATCTTCCACGGACTCCTGAAACTGCATTGTTTTACATTGCAGAGTTTAGGGGACAGAGACACTGCACTTGAGTTGGCCCCAAAATGTAAAATTTTTAAACTCTTACCTATCTCTGCATACATGTCTTTGTTCATCTTCCACTGGATCCTTCCATGGTCAGTCATTCAGCTGTAGATCTTTTTTTTTTTTTTCAAAATTAGATTTTCTTTATTTTTTTGTGGTGATGGCTAATGGCTACGTCTCTGCAATTCAAATATACACATTTTACTAAGAGTTCTCCAGATAATATAGTACATATGTGATTTGATTAAATAGCCCCAAACCCCCCAAAAAATTCCTTGTGAGTTTACATGTTATTTAATATGGACACCTTCACTATAATGGCGCCAGAAAGGATGGGCGAATCTTCACTAAGTCCAAATAACACGAAAAGTTGGACATACATTGTTTAGTCTAACCTATGTGTGCCCTGACTTATGTTTGCTATCCAGACCGGCACCTGAAACTGCATTGTTTTACATTGCAAGGTTTAAGGGAAGGAAACACTGCACTTGAGTTGGCCCAAAAAGTAACATTTTTCAATTCTAACCTAGCTCTATATACCTGTCTACGTTCATCTTCCATCAACTCCTGGATCCTTCCATGGTCAGTCAGCAGGCTGTGAATCCTTTTTTTCCCAAATTAGATTTTTATTATATTTCCAAGTGAAGAAGGCTATTGGGTATGATGTCTCTGCAATTCAAATATAAACACATTTTACCGAGTGTTCTTTAGCCAATATGTTCCCCTCATGGTTGAATTATTTAACACCAAACCCCAAAAGCTTAAAATTCTTACTCAATAAGTAGCTGTCAACCCCCAAAGTTTACTCAGCTCATGGTTCCACATACCTGTCTTCTTCAGTTTGTTCAGGTCATAGTTCCATATTTGTGTCTTCTTTAGTTTACTTTAGTTTTCTTCAGTTTTCTCAGGTAATGGTTCCAAATACATCTCTTCTTCTATCTTTAATCGGCTCCTGGATCCATCCATGGTCAGTCTCCAGGCTGTAAATCATTGCTGGGTGAAGTTTCTTTCTTTCTTTTTTTTTTTGGATAATTTGGTTGATGGCCCCAAAGGTTACTCAGGTGACGGCTTGACATACGTGTCTGCATATATCTTCACCTGACTCCTGGTTCCCTCCTTGGTCAATCAACATGTGGTAGTCCCACCGGCAGAAGTTAGTTTCCATGGACTAAAAAAGATGGACGTGAAAGTGTCTTAAAGTGTGTTTTTTTTAGACTTTTATAAAAACTAAAATTCGTCTTCTTCTTATTATTATTGGTATTTATATAAGACCAGCTAATTTCAAAACTAAATTATAGATATATGCAATATACTATGCGCAGAGTTTAATATTTAATATGTAATTATATATAATTTTTAAATCCTACTTCTAGTACCGATGGTCTTAGATATGCAGTTGATGAAACTGATAATAAAAAGAAAAGAGAAACGGAACAGTCTTCATGGTTGTAGTTTCTGCTACAAACGTTCTGAATGTATGAAATGAAAAGAACAGATCAGGACTGATGTCATCTGTAGCATTATGACATCAATGCTGCACAAAGGAAATAATTAATGAAGTCACAAGGAGACAGGAATAAAGCTGCAGCTAACACAGAGTAAAGGGGTTTAACCCTTTTATGACCTTGGCTTTTCCAAGATTACGTGTTTGTGACAGAGGACTTTCTGGAATATTTTCTATATGTTAGTTCCACTGTAATTTAACTCTTTCTATTTACATGTACCCAGACATATTATATATCATATTTTAAGAACAGATAGTTTATATAAGTTTAATTTTATTAAAGGACACAGAGGCTCTTATTAGGCTTCTTTCTTTCTTTTATTCCTCAGTAGCAAAGAAAGCTAAGGTATTCATAATATAGAAAAAATGAACAAATATCCTCAAAGGATTAACCCATCACTATCTCCTAGCCAATGGGAACAGTCCACATCTCATATAGTCCCATTTGAACCCCATCGCTTCCTCTTTCTTTGCTGCTGCCTCAGCTAAGTACCACCATTTTAACTTCACTCTGACAGGTTTTACTGTGTTTATATCTGTATATTTTGATGTAATACTGTACTGTTCACTGAGTACAATGTTTTAATTTACAACTGTTTAATGTCTTACTGTTACTTGTTTTGTGCTGGCCCCTTCGTGGGAGCCACCTATGGGTGAGCTGCTTCAGCCTGCCGCCCCCTTCCGTTTTTCCCGCCCGCCAGGGCGGTTAACCTGTTCTTCCCTTGCATTCCAGGTAGTTTATTAT